AAATACGTAAAATCATGAAAATTCGCAAAATCAAAAAAAAATGTCTTTTTAAATCTAAATTTAATTCAAGATTCCTTATAATTTTGTCTACCTCTATCAAAAAAAAAAAAACAAAATGTCCACCGGAAAGTCTAATATTTTAATAAGTATTAATAATAAGTAATAATAATCTATAATATTAGGTATATCCTACACAAATAAACCGTTTCCGCTCAGAATCGTTTTTCGTATACAATGATATAATATCATTGAATTCAAATTTAATTCCATCCATCACAATAACCCACTTGTAACCTACTGTACAGCAGAGCGATAGGTATCCACTTTCCCGCTTTTTGGTTTTTTTTATTACCTTCATCAATATTTATAGTAAATTTTACTTTTTAGAGAGTTAGCATTGGAAAACGAATGCCCAATGGTTTATGTGGAGTGCAGCAGTTATTTTTCGGCTAAAGCAGCAGAGAGACTGGGTTTCGAATGCATTTATACTTTGTATTTTCGAGACTATTTGGATGAAAATGGTGAAGTCGTATTTAAAACTTCTCCTCCTCACGATTCTTCAAAGGTATTTGTATTAAATTTATAAGAATAATACCACAGTCCATCCTAAATAAGTAGTATCAAATACCTAATTTTAGCTTTTCGTGTATACTTTCTGTTATTTAATAAAAAAAAAAAATTATTATGTACCATATGTGGTATATTTTTGCTGTACCTATACTTAAAACCGAAATATTAATCTATATAATAATGTTTATTATAATATTATATTATGTGTACTAAATTTAACGCATTATTAACTCATAGTATACCTAGTATAAATTATAAAACCTCTTATTGTATTATACTGTTCTATAAAACATATAATATATATAAATAGATAAGTCTATGCAATAACATATTATATATACCTTTTCATACCTTAATATGATTAAAATACCTAAGTACTCCTTAAATCCTAATCCTTTGAATAATTTTAAATATAATATTACCTATAGATAAGTACGCTTCTATAATGTAATACATATATTACAATACATAAATTAATTAAAATCATATTATAGGGTGTATGACTAAGTAAAAAGGTATGTCAGCAACATTCTCATGCGCATATTTCCCATTTTTTACTGTGTGTTACGTTCTCAGTCTCTCATTGGTCGCATTTACCAAAGCATTAAGATCGGAGAATCTAACACATAAGATAAAGTGGGGATGCGCACGCAAGATTCAAACACATATTGTTGATGATACCTTTATATTTTGTCATGATAGCGTGTATGAAAATGTCTACACCTGTATTGTTTAATTAAAATATTACCTAAGATAATATACATACCTATCAATAAAATTCCATTAATATGAACTATTCCATTTTTAACGTATTTTCAAGTGTTTGTTCAAAATAATATTTCAATTTCACCAGATGGAAATCCATCCGTGGATGGAGCTCTTTTTAATTCTATGTCGTCTATAAAAGCATAGTATATATCACCGCTGTTTATCTTGTAATCTTGTAGTCTTTTCACACACCATTTTTTTTAATTGGTGGCTCAAGCGTGAAAAACACGCGACAAGCGTAAAAACAATGCGACACATCGGTTCGTATGAGTATTTTGCAAAAGTACGACTAGAGTACTAGAGAGGTTATTTTTACATATAAGATAATATTCTAAAAATAAGTTGAATAAACCCAAATCTTTATGATACAAAAAAAAATTTCAAAAAAAATCTTCATTTGATTCACACAGTAATGTTGAATACCATTGCGCCAGTGACCTCATCAATTTTAGAAATACTCTGTACATAAGAATTTTAGAAAAAATATACTAAAATGTAATGGATAATGCATACTCCTTTCAAAAATATACACTCTGTGCAGTAGCGGATTTAATGTTCAAATTAAAGGTAAGGTACGCAAATGACAAATCCATAAAAGGTGTCTCGTACAAAATGTATAATCAAAATATTTACGAAATTATTGTTTTTATTAACATATAACAATGGTAAATAATTTTTCAGTTTTCAATGTAAAATGTATTTATTATTTTGTGGTGAAAATTTAAAAAAATAACTATATAATTTGGGTGAGCCACGTCAGCGTTTGTCAACTATACGACCGTCAAATTCGTCACTGGCTTTATGTCGTACTGGCGTACTGTTTTGGTTTCTAAAACTATTAAGTTTCTACCARCTTACTGGTTATGTCGATCATAACTTTAACATAACTAAACTGAAAATTTTTACTATATAGAAAACATTTTATTTTTGTTTAACAACGCTATCTACTAGCTCCCATCAAAACTAGATGAATACCACAGTTTCACCACTAGATGGTAATATATTTATCCTGTATTTTAAATGACAATACAATAAAGTATAAAATTTAAAAATAAAAATGTATTTAGTATATTATACATTATACATTTTAAATTTATGCTATTGTTAAGAATATAATTCAATTGTTTTATTACTATTGCTGATTTGTGTTTTGAGTTTTTATGGCAATAAATAAAGCGTTACAAAAATCGGCTTTGTGGAAATTGATTAGAAAAAAAGTCGTACCCAGCCCAATAACAAACCTATGTTACGAGTATTAACATTTATTTTAAATACTATATAATATTTATAATCAATCATCAATGGTACCTATTAAAAAATTATGTTGAATGTCAATGTGAAGAAATAAAAACTAATTTATATATATTTTTTTTTATCAGCAAAATTTGGTTGACAAAGGGCATTGGGAATATTGGGATACAAGGATTACAGTTTACATCGAGTATTTATTTAAAAGGTATTAAGACTATGAATTGGTGTACATATTTATAAAGCTTTTATATTTTATTTTGAAATTCTACTTAAAACTAATATAAGGAATACAGAATTTATGATATTTTAAATAATTTTATTTCCAACATAATATCACAATATATTAGAATCTAGTTCAGTAGGTACCTATTCTAAAATGCATAAAAATGTTCGAAAGTAATAAAAACGATTTACTACATATTTATTTTATATTATATGCATAGAAAAACGAAAGGTTATTAAAAAAGTAAAACAAACTGTTGTTCGCAAACTAAGATATTTTATACTCATGTATGTATACAAATAATAACAATTAACATTTATTTATCGCCATTGTTATATACATAGTAACAAAAAACAATCATACAGTGACGATACCGAAAATGCTGTCGTTATTTTATGCTCATTAGATGCCTCTTTTGTTCTTTGATATTTTAAATGTACGTCCAAAAGATATTATACTCATAAAGTCATAACCTATAGTCAGATTTGTCTGACAAAAACTTCAGGAAACCAATCTGACTATTTATTTAACTAAAGTCTTGCTTGCAAAGTTATAATTTATACCGTATCATTACATAATACATATTAAACACATTATCTACAGCTACACGCCTATCTGTGACAGCCATACGCAGGATGGAATCACAGATTACATAAAACCGGATGACACACTTCCTATATGCAAGCCATGTAATTCTCAAAAATGTAAACTAATCAAAACATTCAAAATTTACCTCAAATTAAAATCACCACTAACAGAGAAAAACAGTTTTTTATGATAAATTATTAATACTTAACTACGCATCTGATATTTCCTTTCCATTAACCACGATGTTGAGAATATATTCTGACAAAATGCCATTTTTTTTTTTTTTTTTCGTATGGCGCTATGTTCGGGAGTAGGCCCGAAGGCCTAGTTCGGACGCATGTTTGACAGAATTTCTATTGGGGCACCCGTAGGTTTCTGCCATGCCCCGGAGTGGGGGATGGCGGCACTTGTTCTCCGGACACCATGACTTGCCCGGAGAAAAATGCCGCCCGATTGTCGAGGATCGAACCCGGTCCGGCTGAGCCACAGCCGACGCGTTGACCACTCGGCCACCTCGTCCCCCAATGTGCCATTTACATATTATTTGTTACAATAATTAAATTAAATATGTTTAATTTATTTCTCGTATATGATCTTACTGCATTCGTGAAAATTCGAGTTATTAGTTAATTCAGAAGTGCACCGTCTGGTTTCATATAATCTGTGACTGTAATGGAATCCAGGACTCAGGAAGGATAAGGATAAGGATTAAATAGATACAGTCTAAAGACGCGAAGTCGCGAACAAGAAAAACGCGTAGGACGGTAATACGGCATACAGTACGTGATTTGCTATACTGAACAGATATTTTATAACTGTACCGTCACCAAAAACCACCTTTGGACTGTTTTTTACTGAGTGTGCTCTGGAAGTGGAGCCTTTAAAGCAGTCAGAAGCCAAGGGGGTAAAATAAAATATTTTTAATTAGTAATGGTATAGGTATTTATTTTTGAAAATGTACAGAAATCTGTAAGCATACGATCTTTATGAAATAAACTATATCCAAATATTAATTTATGCACTTTAGGTTTTGATTTAGTATTTTAGTCGCGGTGATGTTAAGTACATAAATAATAAGATTTTGTTGAATACAATATTACCGAAGAGTTGAGATAAATCAAATTTCATTGATAAAGGTGTAATCGTAAAACATTTCCGGTTTCGTCTGTAATGTGTTATGCCTAAATAGTTTCAACGAGCGACGTCACAACGATAATAATAGAGAACAGAAGTCTCTCCCAGTTCCTGGAATGAAATGTATAAATATATTTTGTTATGTTATCAATTTCAATCGTTGATAAATTTTTATAGTCTATACATAATAAAATTAACAAAATATTAGGGGCTTAGGCACATGAATGCATGATGATGGTTATTGGTTGGCAAACTATTTGAGGGGGAAGCTTAAGTCTGTTAAGACACTTCCCCCCTTGGGTGGCGGGTGCACTTTTAAATTAAAATAAAATGGATTTCACAATTTCAGGAACCCGTGAGCCACATACCACTTGCACACAGTGTTATAGACGTTATAGTAATCCATTTAATGCAAGAATCATTATTTCAAAAACTATTAATTTATTTGAAAATATTTTTTCATATAAGTTTAAGTKYACCTATGCAAGTTTATGCTGTATAATAGCAGGACTCGTTTTCCATGCGATCATCGTGGCGTTTTGAAACTCCATCAGATCCTCGATTGAATCGTTTCCACGACGCAGTCCGTGAGTTTGAGTCTAATATTTGAATGGTGTAACTTATGACAAAAATCAAATGAAATCACCCTTTTAAACTACGGCTTACGAACCTCAAGAGTCAACACCAGTCGGATAAAATCGCGTTGCCTGAAATTTATCGAGAGATACACGCGTTGAGTCGCATAAGACGCTTATGCCGGGTTGCAGACAAAAAAAAAAAAATGATAAATTTAATGGTTCAATAAAATTCAATAGACCAATCGTGAGTCACTAAATCATGAGTTCAAGGGACCATTATTAGCTCGTTGTTGGTTCACTATGCGTATGTTTAAAGTGATTGTGCATGCAATCCGGCATAAACGTCTATCTTAGTATTAATTGGGCACTTAATTACTATAATATATTAGTCACCTAAGCAATACAGTTACCAATTAGCATTCGCAACTCAAAAGTGATTAGTATGAATAATAGAGTGTAGTTCATATTTCACACGCCATTCGCGTCTATAGAATCTACGACAGTTATTTAGAATTTATCGTGTGAACATAAATCTGTGTAGAAATAGATCATTTTGAGTGAATAACTGGAAGAGGGGAGGGATGAATTTGTTGAATGTATATATACCTACATC